AGCATTCTGTTTCTGCTTCACATTTCTTTATCGGTTTTCTTTTCTGCTTTTTTCTTTTTAATCCACTTTTTTTTATTCATATTTAGCATGCTAAAACGATCATCTGTCTGGCAATGTGACTTACAGCTGTTAATTCTTGTTTTACATATTGGCTTTGTTAAGTTCAAACTAAGACCATTATCACGTGAGAATGTTTGAGAATTAATGTGATGGTGGTGAAGCTGCAACAGCAATAGGAAAAAAAAAAACTTAACAAAGCAACTAATACAGTCATTGGTAGTGACGCCGGATACGTTAAAATCAGTTACTATCTGTAAAACTGGATAGGTGACTGATTACAGATACTGCTAAAAAAGTGCCTGATTGATCAGTTTATCAAATTTTTTGACTTACTAAAAACTTTTGAACTGTAAAACAGAAATCGAACAAAATAAGCAGATTTTACAGATCTGTGTATCAGCTGTGCTCTGCTGGCAGTTAGAAACCCCGTACCGTATTATTTTTGTTCGTTCAGGTGTCAGGTCTATTGAACTGAAGAAGGTGTGTAATTTGAGAACAAAAAAAAAAATACAGCTGGAAGAAAGAAATAATTATAACATCAAATTGTCAGCAATTATTTTTTTTTTCTTTTTTCTTTTGTATTTGAATGAATAAGTGGAGAGTAATGACTGGTCAATAATGAATTGTCAAAAGAGTTAATTGTTAAGAAAAAAATTTTTGTAGGTACTAAAAGAAAAAAAAAAAGTACAAAAGAATACAGAAAAAATAGGTAGCGGGGGGTTGGGGAAAAAAGCTGAAACAAGCAGAAAAAACTATTTTTTATCTGCAAAATTTTGGTGGAAGATATCTTTTGAAAAAAAAAAAAAACCATTTTGATGTATTTTTGCAACCAACGGCAACAGCATTTCTGAATTCTTTGTTCCCAGTCAGCAAACGTTTCGTTAAATGGAAATGTATTTCAACTGATTCTTTGCCGTTACAGTTTAACAATTTTGCAGTTTTTTGTTGTTGTTGTTGTTATTGTTTGCTGTATTTTCTTTCTTCTTTCATTGATTCATTTACACTGTCCAGGAAAAATATTTGGATAGATTTGAGGGCGAAAAAAATGATGAGAGACAGGCAATACGAAAAATACTGTGAAGGGAAGAACGTAGAAAAATAGAGATAATTGGAACTGGGTATGAGATGAAAAGAGGGAAAAAAGAGTGGGACAAAAAGAATTTTTTGTGATCCATCAACTAAGCAACAAATTTAGAACGAATTGGCAACAGAAAGAAAAAAAAAAAACGGTGAAAATTTTCCGTTATTGTCAACAGTGAAAACGAAAAACAAAAAGTTGTTTGCAGTTTTTATGAGATTTTGGCCTCTTTTTTTTTCTCGTCTTTCCGGAAAATTTGGTAATGTTTGTTGAGTTTGGTCGGTATGTATACCTATAAATAGGCAAGCGGCACTTAAGTTTAAGCCAGTATCAACAGTGGTTGATA